CTGGTGAGGAAGCTCCTGCATGATGTCAGACATTTGTGTGCTGTGGGATGGTTGTACAGCAGGTGTCTTATATCTTTTGTTTGTCTCGGTCATTCTGTCCTGCTGGCCACTGCTCTTCTGATGTGAGGTGGAGCAATGCCAGCCAGCAGGTACACATTGTTTAGGCTGGTAGGCTTCAGATATCCTGTGATGCATCAGCAGCTATCATTCAGAATGGGATCAAGGTACTTAGCCTGTAAGGATCTCTCCCATACAGGGCACGCATACTTGACAGACAAGAAACAGAGCCAGAGCAGTGGTATGGATGGTTAAGGGGTTAGCCCCCCATTTCAAGTTGCTGAGCTGATATAAAATGTTGTTATACAAATGCTCACCTTTCCTTTTGTCTTCATGATGTGTTTGTTGTATGAGAGGATTTGATCAAGAGTGACTCCAAAGTAAACTAGGTTTGGACAGTGAGACAGGAGGGTCCCGGACTGTGTAATATTGAACTTTGGCTTCATGGTTTTTTAGATAGAAGGCAAGGCAGATTTGGAGATCACCTACCTTTAGGGAAGCCCCAGGGGTACTCATAGGGACACTGGTTCTGAGAAAACACCAAGACACCTGACTTAGGAAGTGACTGTCATAGGTCATAGACAAAAAGGAGCTGAAAATGTTCATGGTGGGGAGAGGTTACCCCAAGAAACAGAGAGGCCTAATCTACATGTAGAGGTTTTATTGACGCACTTCTAGTCAATACTGTGCTGCTAGCAAAAGCTCTAACATATATGCAGTTATATTGGTGAAAGTCTTTTTGTAGGCACAGCTTATCTTATTTGAAAAACTGATATAAGTTGGATCTGCTTTTTATCTCTTTTGCTAACATAAGCTGAGTCTCACTGGGAAGCTATACCAGTATAAATATACTACAAATCCTTTCTTGTGCAGACCAGTTCAGAGAAAGGATGTTTAGTGCTCTGGATTTTGAAAACAGAGAGTTTGAGTTGGTAGTCTGTGGTGTAGCTACATGTGTGCTGGCCCTGCTGTCTTTTTTTTTCCTTTGGCTGTTTTAGCCACTGCTGTTCAGGATAAAAAGGAATTACATGCATGCCGCAAATAAAAATAATCTAAAATGTGTGTTAGGCTTGTGCTTACTTATTTATCCTCCAGCAAGAGAACAATTCATTCCAGAAGCCCAAACTCTTCATAACCATTTGAAAGCCAAGACAACTCTCAGTCCAGGTCTAGATTTCAAGGAGATGACTGATGTAGCTAAATTGAGAAATAAGCATGGAAAAAAAATCACACCCCTAATTGACATAGCAAAAACCTCTGCATGGACATTACTTATCCAAGCAAAAGGATTATTTTTCTGGCATGGCACATGTCATTCAGGGACCTGAATGACATAGCAAAAGAGCTCTCTTTGCAGACAGGGGTATAGGTTGTAGCCATGTTGGTCTAGAGACATAGGCAGACAAGGTTCTTTGGGTAAATCTGATATCTTTTATTAGACCAACTCAAATAATTGGAAAAATTCTTCTTTGCAAGCTTTTGGGTATAATAATCCTTCGTCAGGCTGAGGAAGCATCTGAAATTAGTCTGTGATCTTCCTGGAATGAATAGTAAAGAAGCCAGAGGCTGGTATGCACGCAAGAAAGCCAGTCAGTGAAGACATCTCTTTGTAGACATAAGCTTCATCTCCAGCAGGGGGCTTTGCTGGTGTAACTATTTGCTGGCAAATTGTCATAGTGTAGACTAATCCCCAGCCTATCAAAACTCAAGCAATCAAAAATGAGACAAAATTTTCCATGTGGCTGTCAGAATTTCTTCTATCTATAATGTAGAGCTGTATCTTTAGGCCAACATTTGAAAGTATATTATTTAATCCATTTTCCCATGGAAAGCATCACCAATGTTACATGGTTTCCAGCAGATTTTCTCACTGGGTTTGTTTCACTAGCAACTGAAATGTGGGAGAAAATGTTAAAAATTCAAGACACTCTTTTTAGAATTTCAGCCCTCTACTAACACAGGTGCTATGGCTGACGTTCATTTTTTTTTTTTTTTTGCAGCGTACTTCTGTAATTCTGCAAATTGTTGGTAAAATGTTTGACTCTGTTTTGTATTTCTTTGTCTGTAGGTTGCTACACTGCGTCATAAAATGGGCATAAAAAACCCACTAGAGTCTCTTAAAGTACCAACAGATTCAAAACTAAGAAGTTTTGAATCTGTTGGTACTTCAAGAGACTCCAGTGGGTTTACAGAGAGAAGATCTGATTCTGATTTCACATACACCAGTTTTACAAAACATAACTATAGAGTTGACTGAGGTTACTCTTAATTTATATAATTCCCTTTTAATCTTACCAGTTCAGACTTGAAAATCACCAATTGTTCACAAATGGGATCTGCTACTAAGAAATATGAGCAAATCAGTGTGGAATAAATGGATTTCTCAAAAGATTATAGATCTATTCTTATGAAAATATGTTTGCACTACTTTTTTAAGACACTCCCAACAGGATAGCCTGCCAGACCTGCCCTAAGCCACTTTAGGTTCATTTAACTGAAGATTTAATCTTGCAGAATGGAATTCCTCCTACACTATATCTTATGCTTGGATGGATCAATGGCTAACTGGACAGATACAAGGATGAATGATAATACATTGCTATACTAGCAAATACTACTATACAGACAAAATCCTGAAGGAACCAATGGCCTGAAACTGCTTTCAGTTATCCTGGAGTAATTCAGAAATAATGCCTTGAGATCAGTGGAGTTATCAATATAAAAGCAGTGCACATAAAGGGAGAAGCAGGATTCATACATTACATGTATGACATCCAGCAGTAGGCTTGGATTTTGTTTCTCTGAAACTAGATATGTTCAGAAAGTTCCAGTGCACAGTAAATTATTCTGGCTATAACATTAGCTTATTGCTATAAAAAAATCTACTAAGAAAATATTATAAACCAGTTACTTTTAAAAACATCATTTGTGAGCCTAGGAAAATCTTTGTTTCCTCTTGAAAATTAATAAAACTATGGGGAGATAATTCCCATGTCTCTCAAACATCTCATCATGTTCAGCCCACATTATTATAATAGCCCATTAATAATATATCTTTAATTTTCATACTGTAATGCTGCTCTTCCCAAAGGATCCTAAAGTGCTTTACAATTAATGTATATATAAAGTTCTTCAGTCACTACTGAAATTCAGTCTCATTCGAGGTGGAACACAACACTCCATTGTAACAGAATAAAAATATTTTATCCTATTGACATTTCACAGAACGTCAGTACAGAGAAAGTAGTCACCAAGGTTGAAATGGGTTAAGGCTTCTACTACTTTGAAATATACTGCATCATGAGATCTTCAAGGTCCAAAAGTGATCAAGACCTCACTCTTACATTTTCTTCAAAAGATGGCACCCTGCAAACAGCATAGTATGTTTGGAGCACCTATACACAAGCAGCAAGGTTGCTCTGATACCCTGCAATTACAGTGTGCCAGAGCAGACTTGACTGATTAATCGAGTCTCCTGTAGCGTGGTCAAGGTGGCCATCATAGAGGACATTCCCATTTTCTGCTACTGTGTCCTCTGTTGATATGAAACCCAACACCTTTATGTCCTCTATTTTTCTCTTGAAAAAAAAAAATAGAGGACATAAAGGTGTCTGGTTTTGTACCAATAGAGGACAGAGGATAACCGGACTGGCCACCCTAAGCATGGTAAGTACCATACTCCAGCCAGCCTCTGTGTCTCGTGTATAAGCATTCCTGTGCTGAATAATGGTGGCGGGGACACTTTAACTAAAGTTCATTCAGCGAGCTTTAGTTAAAGTGCGCCCACTGCCATTTTTCAGCACGAAGATGCTGATACATGAGACAATCTAATTAAAACACTCTTCCCCACCCCCACCCCCTCCCCACTCTGGAGCATGTGTATAAACGCCCTTAGGTTCTTTCACTGACTCAGGTTCTTTCCACTCATGTTCTTATCCACTGAAACTCTGGGATCACTCCTTTAACTGTTTCCTTCTCTCATCTGCTTTGTCCCTTAACTCCTCATTCCTCTTAAAAGGCTAAATTTAGTCACTCCACAATATGAGAGAGCAGAGCATCATTGGTACGAATGAACCAACCCTGTATCTTCAAATTTCTTAGAGACATCACATGAATTTGCCATATCTGGATATGGAAATGGTATCAATAATTATAATATTAATCTCTTCCACTTTTTTCATCCGTTATCTGTGTTTTAAGAAACTATTTTTTTCTAATCCACATTTGTAGTGTTGGTTAAGGGGCACAATATGTACCTGAAAAGTAGAGAGAGGGCAAAGGTGCCTATTCATTACCCATGATATTTCCTGAGCCTTCTGCCGCAAGTGCATGTTGTAGCAACCCAAAAGCCACAGTGGTAGCTGCGAATAAACTTGCCATGTCTCGTCTGCTGGCCACAGGGAAGGATTGGTCATACAAACAGCTATAGGGGATTGTATGTCACCCGAGTACCTCTGAACTAGAGGAACCCTCCTGTTAAGGCAACTTTAGGGGAGCTGTGTTGCAGAGGAAGAGCACAAAGCTGCCCTACTCGTTCTAATCCAGAGCATGTGCACACCCTTCCTTCCCTGTTAATGTTACAGTGGGAGATGGGTAATCATTTAGTAAAATGTTATGCTGAGCGTGGATTAATGCAAACTGTGCCGCCTTCCAATATTTTTAATGTTGGATCATGATTGAATAAGATAGGAGGTGGACTGCAATGTAAAGAAGTGATGCTGTCCTCCTGTTAAGCCTCCCTGGAACAAGATGTTCATGTTTCTCAGAAATGTAGTCTCTTCTGTAGAAATGTGAAATGAGAACCAACTGAAAAGTGGAGGTATGGGGAGGAAAACGAGCTAAGAGATAGTGTAACTCTTATTTTCTGAATACAGCAGAAGCACAGCCCTGACAGAAGCAGTAAGCAATGGAACAGACCCATGAAAATAGTGCATTTCACCCACCGTACTAGTGCTCTTCAGGTAGTGCACCAACACATTCCTTACTGCCAGGGGGGCACCCCCACAGGCTGCCATTCCTTTTGACATTATCATTTCTGAAAGCAGCATTTCTGGAAGCGATGCAGCCCTTTCCTGACTTCCTGTAGGCGAGTGAGTGATGTTGCCATCATTCCGATCGTACTGCCTCAGCCAGACAGCGCCGTTCCCAGAATATTGCTCCCTCTGGAATGCTATCACCCTTGCAGTTAGTCATTTTAGCACCCAATCTGGTGCAGCAGTTACAGAAGGGGGCTGGGAGTTAAAACTGCTGTGTATGAAATGCCGGCTCTGCCACTGACTCTCTGCATGATCTTGGGTGAGTCAGTTCACCTTCTGAAAAAACAGGAAATAAGATCTGCATCATAAACATTGTATTGTACTTTTTAACTCATAAATGTTTGTAAAGAGTTTTGAGGTACCCAGATAAGAAACAGTTATATATATATATCTATATTTATATAGATATAGACATATATATATAATTTTCATGTCTCTGAATGTAATGGGAAACACTGAAATCAGGAATAATCTGTGTTTTGGATGACAAGACAACTTTGCACACAGTGAATTGAGAATGGGACTGCAACCTCTATTGAGATAATCAGGAAAGGAGTGTAATTACGGTTGAACCATGACATTTTGGTATGAAGCATTATTTTTTTGTGTTTTTTTACGATGAAATATTGTCTTTTCTTTCATGGAATTTGAGGTCTGGGGATATGCTGTGTGGAACCACGTCAAATGAACAGTGGAGTTTGTCCTAAGGAAAAAATTACTTCAGTTAAAAAAATGAATGGATTTGCAGGCATGCGTGGTGGAGAATAGTTTAAAAAATGATGGGAAGACTCTTCAAATTATTGAAGCAATCTAGGAAATCTAAATTGGTCTCTGGTCCCCGTGCCCACAGCACCCCATTCACTTCCAAAATGAAGTGCTCTTAAAAAAAATGTGAAGCACTGCATTTGGAAAGGATCAGTTCTGGGCATGCACTGCACAGAACAATTTAAAATTACTAGAGCACTTCAACTTTTTTTTTTTTACAGGCACTTCTTTTTGGATGGGAATCAAAGAGCATTCTATTACAGTAGCTGAATACATGAATGATTTAAAAATGGAACAGCTCCTCCCCTAAACTGAACTCCTTCCCCCCAAGAAAGTAATAATAATTTTACAAGTGAGAAGAGGGTGAGGAGAGAGAAGGAAAAAAAATGCTTCTGCTTCTTCAGATGAATTAGAAAGAATCACAAAGAGCTTTGCAAAGATTCAAATACCAGTAAGTACAGCAACCGCGTGATGTGATGGTCTGTTTCTGCTTTGTGGGCCTGTCAACAAATTTCACATCAATAAAACTTTATTCTATGCCATCTTGGTGACAGAGCATGAGGTAGAGTACCGTGACCTTCTCCGCTCACCCCTGGCTATGCGAGCATCCCTACATTACATTCAATGCACAGGCATCTTACCTCCTCCTTCCTGATTACATCTGAGTGTCTGCACCCTTAATGCTTTCATTTGTCCAGTACTGTTTAACAATTTCACTTTATGGATTGTCCTCTTGTGGAGACTCAGGCTTTTCCAGTGTTTCCAGCTCTCAGGATTTTATTGAGCATCTCCTGAAGGTATGCAAGTAGGAATAACTGCAGCTTTCATGTAAGATAAAAATAAGTTTCTGTCCCCTGGCAGTTGCTGGAGAAGAAGCTTAAACACATGACTCTAGAGCACCCTCGAAAATGATAATCCCAGGCGGCAAATAGGAAGACCCTTAGACTTATTTTGAAAGCTCATATTTCTTGTGATATATGTATATATATAGTCTTTTTTAACAGTTGGGTTTGGTAATACTGCTTTTCTAAGCCTTCCCCTGCTACTTAACTTCTTCTAGCGAGCTAAGATTAAACACAGAACTCAGAGGACTTCATGATTCTACCACAATCATTTCTAAGGGAGGGATTTGCAGGATGCATCTGAGCATACTACAGAGGCAAGGGTGTCTCAAGAGCCAGCTAGTAGCAGAGTTTCACTGAACAGAGTACGAGGCAGTGCCCCTCGCAGGCAGGACTGCTGCCAGTGGAGAATTCAGAGCTGGCGATCAGTCCTGACGCTGGGAAAATTCCATGAAGGTTTTGTACGTCTGTGGGCCTGTGGAGTGCTTCAGGCCCTGCTCAAAGGAAAGAAGGAGAAACAGCTCCATTGCCAACAAAATTAGGGCTCTCTTCCAGCTTTCAGAAACTTGCATACTTTTATATGTTTGCCACATGGTTCTTCAGTGCAACAGCACATGTGTTTTGGCTGCACAATACTGAGTTTAAAAAAAAAAAAAGAGTTCTCAAATCAGGGAACTTTAAGCTGGTCTATGGGCAAAGGCAGATGGGCCACATACCTGAAAGCAGGTTAAAAACACGGAAAGGGTTTGGGTAGCAATGGGACACCATTTCTCTGACTGCATGTGGATGCAGGTCATTCACCCAAGAAACAGCCAGCACCAGAATGGCAGGGGATTTGTTTCGGTGCAGTCTGCACAGGCTGGATTCAAACCTTGGGGAGTTTCTCCCGTCATTTCCTTAATCTGCTTCTCTTACAATCATTGCACCCATTCTTATTCCAATCTATATTATAGTAGTCTCTGTTTTGGCCAGGCCTCTTTGCAGTAGTAGGCATCATGCACACATGGATAAGAGCACACAAAAGCAAATTAGACACACATGATAAACATGGGGGCAGGAATTATAATTACCCATTTTAGAGATGAGGAAGTGAGGTAGCGAGATTATGGCTATGTCAATGCCACCTTAGTGCTATGCCTGAGAGCACTGCTATGAAGCAGAGCCCACCCGCTCACTCTCCCCCCCATGTGCAAACCCCAGAAACAAAGCACCACCTCACAATGGTGCTGAGTATATGTCCCTGTCCCACTCTGGGGCTTTCTTTTTGGGGAAGGTTCATTAGCCTAAGCTGCTCTAAATTGACTAGATTGTCTCATTTTCAGGATTTGGCACAAGAGGGGAGTTGGAGTGAGTGGGCAGAGCATGCTTCACCTCAGTGGTCCCAAGTGCAGCATAGGGACAGTGTGGGTACTATGTCAGAGACTAGCCCAAACTCACACAGAAGGTCTATGGCAGAGGTGAAAATTGTAACTGATCCCAGTCTAACGTCTTAACCACAAAACCATCTTCCACACATTCTGGTCAAATGGATTAGGATGCAACCCATGGAGTTAAGTGCAGCAAGCAATGGAAAACTTCCCCTCAACAATCCCCCAAAATAACCTTCCAAAGATTTTCCTACATGGTGTCTAAGTCTCAGAAGATGAATTCTACAAAAGTGGGATTGATGTCAGATGCAAGCCTTTGTTTCATTGGCATCCTTGGATAATTAGAGAGATCATTTGGGCAGATTCATTTATGAATGCAGAGCAGGGTTTTCCATGCCGTGGCCGCAGTCAGCATTTGTTCATTATGAAAACAGGTGACACAAAAAGATCTGCACGCAGCCTAATGTTGATGGAAAGCTTGTTTGTGCTTGGTACATTAGAGAAGTTGTTCGGGAACAGTTACGTAAAGATTAGCCCTGTAACGCTGCCAAAGACTTTGTGTTATTATGTGCTGTGTTTGTGCCAGGCAGCCCCACATGTCAGAGCAGCCTCGTGGGGCAGTTTTTAACATGCACACCCACATTTTCTGAACATTTTTAAAAATGTAAGAACCAACTCTGACCTCACTTACATGGCTGCAACCACCACTGACTTCAATTAGCTTGCGCCCGTGCAAGCGCAAGCAGCATTGATCTTTAAACAGCCAAGTATTTTGTTTGTTCTGGAGAAAGCTGTCCTTTTCCTCCCATCCTTTCTACAGCCCCCCCGCCCCCCTTCTTCCACTGCCCTGTTATGTTCCATCAGAGAATCCCAGCTGCATGGGCAAAAAGAAAAAAAAAAGCAAACCAGCCATATGGGAGCATACAAATTTAATGCCGGCTAAATAGGAAGGTTGTCTAAATAACGCAACAATCAGAGTTATGCAGGTCATAAGTCTAGGGAGTAAAAAGCTCACAATGTATATTGTGTGTGGGGGGCTGGGTTGCTCAGTTTTCTTCATAAAATTTCATTAAACAATGATTTTTCTTTTAAAAATTTATGAACGAGTTTGATGCTCATGAAAGTGAGAGAGTAAAAGCACTGGCCTTAGCCAGTGCAACAGAGGTTGATGCTTTGGAGCACACGCTGTATACATTCCTCTGCCAAAGTACTGCAAAGCCTGACCCAAAATCTAGTTCCCATTGCTACCCAAACTTTTCTGAGAAGAGATTATCAGCCATGCACACAAATATTAAGTCCACTGTACTTACCTTTACTTAAGTCCCTACAGGGAGTTGGAATCTGAACCCAAGTCCCAGAGGAAAAGGTTGCTTTGTTCACCTGGTGTATTATGGTAACCTCATTTCATGAAACACATGTGCACACATCTGTTTATTTAGGGCTAGGTGATGGATGAGTCTTCCACAACCATATAGGGGAATGAAAAAAGAACAAGGGCCTATCTGCACAAAAGATACAATACCTCTTTACCTGAACCTGTGTTGCTAGAAGAGTAAGATCCCACAGAGCAGACATAAAGGCTCTTAAGCTAGTATATTTTATGCTATAGGAAAATTGAACAAATATCAAATAACAACATCTGGTCCTTAAACAGCACTTTTCATAAATACCTCTCAAAGCACTTTACAAAGAGGGAAATTTCCCTTCATTTCCCATTTATTCTCCCTCCATCTCCCCAGACATCATTTTCTCTTCTTTCCATTTGTCATACATTTTGTGCGTTTAATATTTTCTTTCTTTTTTCTCAAATTCTTTTGTTTTGTGCTCCCTTTATTCTAGTTTTGCTTTGGTTTGAGATTCTTTGTGGTTTAATCGTCTCTACAGTTTTTCCAGTATTCCACTCCTTTTCATTACTGTGGATTTCTGCGTCTCCTCCTCTATATTGCTTGCCTGTCTGTTTGCCCTTTTCCTACATCTCTTCCTCTTTATCTGCTGCCTTCTCTTCATTCTCTCTGATAGTTATTCTCTTCTTTCCTGGCTCTGCTTTCAAAGCCCTGTTCTCACACTCTGTTCCCTTCTGTGATCATTTTATATGCCCCATTCCCTTCCTCTTCTTCTGTTGTTATTATTCTTATTTATAATGTATTGCAGCAGTGCCTAAATGCCCAAACTTGACCCACCCCCTACTGTGCTCAGTGATCTCTACATATGTAGTTAAGGGCAATCCCTGCCTCAAAGATCTTATAATCTTCTCCCTTCCATCTTCTTTTTCTCCACCTGCAGATAGTAGCAGGCTGGCAGTAGACACTCAGGGATAGTTATTTACAATGCTTCATGGCAATAGGTTCTGGCTCCATGAATGACCCATATTAGAGTTTGACGAGATGAGGCCATGCTTCAAAGTGAGCCCCAGGAGGAATCCAGCTTACTCACTTCCTGAATGCCTGCAGGTGCTCTCAGCGAACACAAACTGGAAGAACAGCTCTGACAAGTTAGGTATTGTCTACACAAGAAAGTTCTGCTGACTTTCCATCTCTGCAGTCACCTGAAAGGCTCAGGGCAGAACAAATTCACCCTGTCTAAAGACTGTTTTGCAGCAAGTTCTGTTGCTGTACCGCAACCATCACTGCTAAGTCACTACAGCATATACATATCACTGCTTTTGCTGGCACCATGCATCTCCGCTTCAAGCAACTGTATCAGCTGAGCACAAAGCACACCTTAGAAAGCTTTCTAGTGACCCCATGCACTGTGAGATGCCCAGACCTCCCTGAAAGAATTATGAGTAAACAGCATCTTTGACCCAAAGAGCATTTCTCTCCATCCACTTTGGCACCTTTGCATCTCCACTAACTATTTCTGAATGCTCTTCCCAGTGTTGACTCCAAAGGGTTCTCTAGTGTAATTCAGTCCTTCTTCATCACAGAGCACATCGTAATTATATCTCTGTACCACCTGATTGATAGGGATGAGCAGCAGTAGTTCTGGGTCACTGCAGAGCAAGAGTTAAGCAGAGGACAATGTGAATATTGGAGTGAATTGCTAGGAGCCATTTACAGAAATGGTCACACAACACTACTGAGCTCCAATTCTAGGCACAGGAAACTAAAAAGGACCAGTGAGAACAAACTGTCTCACAGGTATGGAATAGCCAGCAGTGTCTTCAAACTTTTGCATGCATACGGCTTATTTCCTTATGGCCCTGCATTGTGGTGGGTCAAAAAGTGGGTGGTGATGGTGAAATGCAATATTTTCTGACACACTTTTGTAGTGTTGACCAGTCTATAGATAAGGTGATTTTTTTCCTGTCTGAATCAGTCTTGCAGGTAAATTCAGAGATGGAAACAGCCATGATTCTGCCTTGTCCTGATTGTGGACACCCACAAGAGTATCCCTCAAAAATAGCCATCTGACACTTTAGGATGAAAACTATATGTCAACAACTTCGCTCCCCTGGCACAAGAAAATAGGGCTAGAGGACTAGAGCCAGTGTGTGGAATGAGTTGCCTTAAAACAGGTTGGCAACCTACAGCCACTGGATCCAGCTCATTAACATGGAGCTTCAGCCGCGCTTGGCAGTGG